ACCTGAGGATTTATTTACTCTGTCCAGAATCCAGATATAATTTTATCTACCATGGTTGTTGTAACACTGGGATCAGTTAGTTCTGAACAAAACTATGCCACTGGTAAAATTGACTTTAAGGGCAGATATTCAGGGACCATGAATCAGGAATACCAAAAGTCTTTCAGGGATCAACTATCTCTATTCGTGATATATGTATCATCATACAATTTATAGTCTGATACAGAATTTTGACTTGCATTGATGTCAAACTTACTCACCTTGTAAACTCTGCCATACATTTTTTTCCAAATCAAGACAGATATTTTTTCATATATTATATTCCAAAACATTTCTCATTCTAAAGTTTCTGAACAGCAGTTAAATAAGCTCCACTTCATCAGAAGGCTGGAATTGAGTTCTGCAGAATCAAATGAGTGGGACTCATTTAGTAAAACATAAATTATTTCATACAGTCGTCTCATCTACTTTGGGGCTTCAGTTCCCTCTGAATGGACCAATGGTTATTGATCCTTTCCAGTGTGTGCATACTTCTCCTTGATCATAGAGAAGGCGGAAGTAAAAAGACTTGAGTAACTTTACTTTAGCTCTCTATCCTTTGCCATTATATCATTAGTCCCAGGGGTGAGCCTGTGCTACAGATAGACTTGAGCATCATCTCCATAAAATAGAAGGTGGAGTGCAGGATTAGTTATACACATGAAAACTATGGATGCTGACAAAATACATTTGATGATAAGTTTATAATTACCTTTATTATTTAATATTTTAAAATAATTATATGTATCATTTTTGATACATTAATTACTGATTTGTTTTGTCTTTATAGTTTCAGGTAGCTAAGCTTTTTATAAACCAGGCCTATAGCCTCCTCTGACATTCATATATTCTTTTCAAATAAGAATATATGAAATATATGAGGGTTCTTTCCTACCCACATAGTAAGCGATCACTTTACTAGTAAAGTGGATTAGTAATCCACTTTCCTTACTATTTCACAAAAATTACAACACATTATCTGTGAATAATATATTTTAAAATAGCATGCCTGGGTAGTATATTACAATCAGCAAGCACTTTCACATTTGATTCTAATAACAATTTTATGAAGAAGGTATGATATTGTGAAATAGATATTTGGTCTTCTTCCCTGTTTCCTGGCATACAACTCTTAAAATATTTGAACTTTCCAAAGTGATAAATACATTTTTGTATGCAAATGAATTGACTGAGGATTGGCATCCCCTAGGTAGCGTCAGGAGGGGAGCTGCTCACTGGAAAGACAAAGGCAGAATTAGAGGGTTGGGACTTTAAGCCCCACCTTTCTTTAGGGGAGAGAAGTTGAACTTGATATCCTGTGATAAATGATTTAATCAATCATGCCTACGTAATAAACTTTCCATAAACCCCAAAAGTACTAGGTTCAAAGAGAGCTTCCTGATCGCTGAACATGTGGAGATTTTTAGAGAGGACATGGAGGTTCTGTGCCTTGCCCTATGCATCTATTCCATCTGGTGTTCATCTGAATCCTTTGTAGTATCCTTTATAATAAACCAGTAAATGTAAGTATGTGTCTCTGAGTTCTCTGAGCAGCTCTAGCAAATTAATTAAACCCAAGGGGAAGGTCATATGAACTTCAATTGATAGCTGGTTGATCAGAAGCACAGGTGCAACAACCTGGGGCTTGTGACTGGTGTCTGAAGTCAGGACAGTCTTGTGGGACTGAGAGTCCTCAACCTGTGAGGTATAATGCTATCTCCAAGTAGATAGTGTCAGAATTGAATTAGAGGACACACCGCTGGTGTCCACTGATCGCTTACTAGGGGGGTAGGGAAAGAACCCTCACACATCTGGGGTCACAGAAGTGTTCTGTATTGTGAGAGTATAGAAGCAACTGAGTTAGTTTTTCCAATAGCTTCAGTAGGTCAAATCAGGACTTTTTCAGATGGTCTTCAAGACAACTCAGTCAAAATGTAAATGTTTGTTTTTTTAAAAAATTACCATTAAAGTATGCAGCAAGAATTTCTGATCTTTCCTCTATCCCTTATTCCTATTATCGGTATGATGAGTTTAATTTTCTACTTTGTTCATGTATTTACTCATTTGAATTTTTTTAAATGAGTTGTTTTTTAATCAAAAGCAATAAATATAAATATTTTCTTAAGTCTTTTAGAACTGAATTAACTTCTAAAGGGTTACCAATTCTGTCTCCCAAATCCATCATTGTAAATAAGGTTTCTTCAGTAGTAAGCATAAAGTATCTCTATTACTGTATGAAACAAAGGAACTGTTGGAAATATAATTAAAGATTCTCTGAACAAATCTGGAGTTAAGAATAAGGAATCAACTCTTAATACCCCATCCACTAATGTTCGAAGGGTGGCATGATCATGAAGGATGCAGAAAACAGATGTCAATCCCTTGGAGTTTCAAGTGTAAAATAGGGTAAGTGCTATTACTACCTAGAAAGACATATTTATATTTATATTTCTTTCTTTTTTTTTTTTTTTTTTTTTTTGAGACGGAGTTTCACTCATGTTACCCAGGTTGGAGTGCAATGGCGCGATCTCGGCTCACCGCAACCTCCGCCTCCCGGGTTCAGGCAATTCTCCTGCCTCAGCCTCCTGAGTAGCTGGGATTACAGGCACGCACCACCACGCCCAGCTAATTTTCTGTATTTTTAGTAGAGACGGGGTTTCACCATGTTGACCAGGATGGTCTCGATCTCTTGACCTCGTGATCCACCCGCCTCGGCCTCCCAAAGTGCTGGGATTACAGGCTTGAGCCACCGTGCCCGGCCTATATTTATTTCTTAATCAAAAATAGGTTAGTATGAGCATCGTCCTCATAAAGGAGGAAGACAAATTAGAGATACCAATCATGTGATGCACAGGTGAGTTGTCAGAGAAGTAGAAATCTTGGTGAAAATTATTAATAAGCCTTTCTGAAGGGAACAACTGTGGTCAACACCTGCTTCACAGTTAGATGTGGTTTGTCTGCCAGATAGTGCTTAATCTCATTTCTAATATACTATGCCTAAGCTTCAAGCTCTCTGTCCCTTATACCCAGAGAGGGGAAATAATGATGAATGAGGCTCAGATACTGGGTGAAGGTATCAGTTTTACACACCAATTGTAGCCAAACTGTATCATGGAAGCTGGCTCAAAACACTGTATATCCAAGAAATGTGAAAAACAGTTATGGTCACCGTTTTATGGATAAAGGAAATTTTTTTCTTCATCTCAATCTCTTACTTTATTTAATAGATCACTTCTTGGTTGTAGCAGATATTCACAGCATTCTGTGTGTGCTCACATGAATGTGTGTGTGTGTGTGTGTGTGTGAGATTTATATTTTAACATGAATCAAAGCTGACTGGATGATCTCACTTAACACCTATTCTCTGTTCACACATAAAGTTTATTCAAAGTGATACTGTTAATGATATTAGTGAGTTACTGATCTGATATTTTACCAGGCTATTTAACATGTCATATATTTCTAATTAAATTTTAATTGATTCTTGAGGAACATATTAAAATGAGCAAGGATCAGATTTGAAACGTCTGCACTTAGCACACAAGTATAAATGTAAATATATAATAACGAATTGTAAAGCTTTTAAGGGTGATTTTCAGCTTTTTGCACACCCCTCCACCATAAAAAATCTAAAGATTCCTTTAAACTCACTCACGGCTAGCATTCTGAAGGGCTTTTTGACTTTTACACCTAGAAGATTTATTAGATGACAAGATACAGACCAATTTGAGAATTTATCTAGCAGTATAATATAGCAGATAAGAGCTTAGACTCTAATATGAATCTCCATATATTAAAATCCCAGACCCATCCTTTATAGGTTATTTAACTTTGGAAAGTTTTTCAAACTCTCCATGTCTATGCCTCAGTTTCTCACCTATAAATCTTCATAAAGTCACTTCGAGGGTGAAATAATGATAATCCGCATAAAATTCCTTGAACAGTGCCTGGAACATAGTGAACAGTAAATCATAACACTTTTTCACTGGGCAGAAAAAAAAAAAATGCTGCTAGCCCCCTGGTTGACATTCTCTTCCTATCTGGGAAGAGAATACATATACACGTTAGGAAGATACTTTTTACTAAAGTCACTTTCAATTAGTATTTTGGATTTAAGTGGTGCTGAAGTATATTGCATAGCAAAATCTGAGGGTAAGTAGGCATTATAATCAAAATTTCAAGTAGTAATAAATGTTCTAAACACATTTAAATCTCATTATATCAGTTAAGGCACCTCTCGGGACTTGCAGTTCCCTTAATAACTAGATGTTTAAAAGGCAATCAAATGCAGTGTTTCCTGGGACACATATGAGGGCAGGAGAAATTCCTTTGCAAAAATGAAGAACAGTAGATGTTAATGCCACAATGCAAAGCATTTGTGGAATCTTTAGGTTTTTCTTGACCATCCACCTTTCTATACAGCAATTCAATCATTTAGACAGTTCTCCTTCAACGTATAATAAAAAAGAATACGAGGTCTTGAGTAAGATAAAGTCCATAAATTAGACAAATTTGGTTGCTAGAAAGAGACCCCTTAGCAATCTTCCTTAAATGCAATTATTAGCTGGGTTTTGCAAAGAATGCAAATTTATCTGTGAAAATTGGTGTTATCACTAGACTAATACTCATTATTTTGGTCTGGGAATCCGGAATGATAGTACTTATGCTGGTAACTACCTTTGATCACTTAAGAACCATAAAAAAGACACTTTCATATAACATTTGTGACTTATTTCTCTAGCAAGTTATTGCATGTGCATGTCTTGGTGAATTTTTTAGCCCATGCGCTTGGAAGATCTGGCTTCATCCCTGACATTCTGCATTTCTGCTCTTCACAGACTCCTTTAACTACTGGGCAGCCTTGTAGCTATCTCCGTGGCAAGGCAGGGCCTTTCCTGGCATGTAAACCTGCTAGGCGAATCCGCCCCTCAAGGGCGTGTCAGTACCATTTCCTGGAGCAATGTCACAGGGTGGCTCCATTTTCCATTTGAGCTCAAATATTTTGCTGCTTCCTCTGCAGCTGCCAGACCTGCTCGTGCTGCTGCTCAGGTAGCTTTCTTCTCTTCCTGGCACCACTATGGGCAGAGGTTTTGGATAAGTGGTTTCTACACGTGTGTTGTTTGTCTGCCTGCCCGCCTGCTTGCCTGCCTTTTTTTTCCCCATTATATTTCTCTGTTTGTTCCTTAGGGAGAGCGACTGGTAGGTCCCTTGCTGACGACTGGAAGAAGATGAGCTCGAGCTATTGGAGTGAGACCAGCAGCAGCAGCTGTGGAACCCAGCAGCTCCCAGAGGTGCTGCAGTGCCAGCCCCAGCATTATCACTGCTACCATCAGTCTAGCCAAGCCCAGCAGCCTCCAGAAAAAAATGTAGTGTATGAGCGAGTGAGGACCTACAGTGGGCCCATGAACAAGGTGGTGCAGGCCTTGGACCCCTTCAACTCAAGGGAAGTGCTCTCCCCTCTCAAAACTGCCTCCTCCTACCAAAATTTGGTTTGGAGCGACCACTCTCAGGTACAACAAAGACAGCTATGCTGGGCTAGTGGAGAAGGGCAATCTTCAACCTGATTTCTCTTCCTTTCTGCTTCTTTGCCTCTATCCTACAGGATATTTTTTGATGGATTGCAGTTATATTTACCTTCCACAGTCACCCAAATTCATCTCTTGGCTGTTATTTCATTTACTAGTGTCTATGGTTGTTTGTTTTTGGGTTTCAATGATTTCATAATCTAATCATAGCATAGGAAGGCTCATTTTCTGTTTGGTCTGACTGAAAGATCTGATCCAAAGAATCCTTTTGCCCGTACTGCAAAACAATTCTCAAGTTGAGTACAGTTTGTTTTTAAAACAAGTTCTTACTGATTCACTTCATATCAGAAGCAAACAGGTTTTTTTTTTTTTTTGGTATCAAATATGGTGATACAGGTATAGTGGTATGTCTGAGTGATAAGCAATTATTTGTGCTCAGCAAAGAGTATGCTGCTCCAGGATAAATGAGAGGTGCAAATATCTGAATTGTCATATGTGTTTTATCTTCCAAGAATGACACACTGATTGTTGTACAGCCTAGGTGAATAATTTACGGAATACTTATAGAAAGATTACTGAAAGAATGAATATAGGACTGAGGAAGGCAAGATGTAAGCAACTGTTACATGAAAGCTACAAAAGATGGAACTCTAAGACATCCCATAAGATGAAATAAATTTGTTTCTTCAGAGTTATCCTTAGCATCAATATCTGTGTTAATAACTTTGTCAATAAATACAAAGGAACACAGTAAGACAGATTTATGTGTATTTTCATCTCCTGACAACTTTTGCATTAACTTTGCAGTTTTAAGCCTTATGGAAAATTCTGTCCAAACTGAAATTATGCTTTTAAGATATGAAAATCTCAAAAAGCAGTAATTGGGATATGATGCTATGCTACATTATTATTACCAATCAGGAATAATATTACTTTTCAAAAACCCACAAATTTAAGTAGAATATAAGATAACATTTCTCAACTGCATTATAGAACTATTTTTAAAATAATTATTCAAAGATATAGATAACCCCCAAACTCCAAATGCCACAATTTTACTCTTCTATTTCAATCTTACCTTCATTTCAGAGAAAAATATTTTTAAAAAATTTAGGATTTACCATCAGTAATTTCCTGGTTGAGCAAAATTCCACTTGTACTCAGGTCAAGGAGAAAAAAAAATATAAAGGTCAAAAATACTAGTTTGTATGAGTGATAAAAATAATGCAAATGTACATCCCAATATTCATATTGAGATGCTAATGCAGAACAAAGTGAATGTCACCTTTGTTTTATTGTAGCTCAAAAACAATAATGTGAAGGTTAAAAACAATTATTATTATCATAGGAATGCTAAAATCATCCTGTTTGCCATAGTTACTTAAACATATTTAGAAACTTTTTTGTCAACTTGCTAGTAAAAGAAAGTAAATAGACATTTAAAAGCTGAAATTTCACAAATTATAAATATTGGCTACAGAACAATTTTTAGGAATACGTTTTATTGTTTGCTCCTTGGTTCAAATTCCCCTTTCAATAACTCAGGACCAAGTTGGTTGCACTTTTTACAAGATTTTCCTTATTTTACCTGGCATTTGCCAAAGTAATCCTTACAAATGGACTATCTCCATCCTAAAATGCAGTTGGCCATAGAGGAGTTTATAAAGAACCTTAGGGGTAGAAGGTGCAGCCGCAGAAACTGGGATAAAATATTAGAATGGAGGACTCTGTGAAGTCTGAAGTTATTTATGACCGAAAAGAAAGAAAAGTAAGTGCTGAGAGCAAATGAGAAAGGTGAAAATTAAGCTATGAGCTAGAAGGAAAAAAAGAAGTATTAATTCCTCAGTGAAACAGGAACAGAGAATATTTGACTACAAATTTTCAAACTGAGTTGGATATCAAAGGGCATTCACAAATCCACAAAAGACAATTTGGCAAGATAGCTACCACAAAGAATATGACTAGAAATCTCTTCTATTTTATTTTCCGTTCTCCCTGTTTATTCATGGAAGGCCATTGTGGCATCATGTAAAGTAAGACCTAGATTTGATCTGAAATTACCTTTATGCTGACAAAATGAGTATAATGTGATGGCAGCTTTACTATGTACCATTACAAGCATGAGCATCAGTACATATTATTCAAAAACCTTTCACTCACTTCATGTTTTAATAAAGTCTCTTCTTAATAAGCCATGTTTCAGATGAGCTGATGTGTAACAATTAGTCTAATACCAAAGTTTGTGACCATGGCAGCTAGAAAAATGGATATTACAATTAATTGTTGATCATTATGAATTCAGTTAAACTTTTACGTTTTTTATTTTGTTTGTTTTGTTTTGCCTTTTGGTGCTTGGATGACATGCAGGGAATTCATGAGATTTTAAAATAAATATTACCAGTAGTAAAATATGTTGCCTTTGAGAAACGAAAATTGATGCTACTCTGCTTTGCTTCCTGAATCATAATTTTAGGTCATGTAGTAGACATTTTTTATTTAATCAAATGTTTTTTGCAGCACTTTAGTATTTTCCATTTCCAGCTTTTGAGTACATGCTTTTCTTCTCTTAACCTCTTGTGCACTAAAATGGTGTTTATGGATATAAACATATTTTAAATTTCTCCAGATATATAATGTTACTTTGTTTCTTTAAAAAGATATTCTATGTTTTTTGGGTATGATTTTGTTTGATTGATAGGGTTTTTCTCAGAGAAAATTAAATGTAGGAATGAGTGGCTGGTGAAATTTTCTAAATTAATAGTAGAATTAAAATTACTGGGTTTATCTACATGAGCAGGTATAGTCAAACACAGGTATAATCAAGATCTCAGATGCGTTTTAGAACTGAATGTGGCCTTGCAAATAAACGGAGTTTTAGAAGCTTAAAATAAAACAAAAATTCTTAGTTCAATCTTTTAAAAAGCTTAGCTATTAACCTACCATCATTAACTCAAAATGAAATGCCTTAAATGGGCAACATTGATATTAATTATTCATTGGGCTTACATTTTTTCCTTCCACTAATTTAGGCTTTTATGAAGTTCAAGATATCTTTCATGTATACAGAGAAGCTCTGTTGTGAGAGAGAACAATGGATTAAAATAAAATATTTTAAACACCAGTCATTCACTGAATATATGTTTATTAAGTGCCTATTTTTTAGCAAATACTGTGATTCTCCGGATAAATACCATGAACCTGTCCAGGGAGCGTTCATTTTTAGGACAGACATATGGAGCCTGGTCTGTAGGTGTCCCATGTATCTATTTATATTTTTTAAAGGATTATTTTGTGTTGTGGCATCAGTATTTTATCAAGTAAAACATGTTTTTGTGAGAGAAGGACTATTTTCATGTATATGTTATAAGGGTTGCCATTCTTTTGAATTTGAAACTTGCAAACAAATCTAACTCTAGAGAGCAGTCTGGGCGAAAATGTGTGTTTATGAATGGCCTCTGTTCTCAACAATTATTCAGCTGGGGGTAACCCTTGTTTATATGATTATTTGTGCTTTTTCTTTGGTTGCAAAGATTGTGGATAACTCTTCTACTGTTCTAGAATTTCTATACACTATCAGAACAGTTTCCTGTTCTGTGGGGAGTGGTGTGCTGCTTTGATAAATTGTTGTTCAAGGGCGTAGTCAATGAACTGAATGATTGTTCAGGGAAGTAGGTTGCCTGAAAAAAGAATGAGGTCATGGGATAAAGGGGTTGCATTTTCAGCTTTGGTCATCCCTTTTGTGCTTATATTTAAATGAAGCTATAGAAATTGGAGTGAAAATGCCCATGGCAATTGTATCTTGTTTAAGGGAGGTCTGATAAATTGCTGGGCCTGTTTTCAGTCAAAGGCACTCATAAGCTGTCGCTGGGCCTGTATGGCAAGAAACGGGGGTGGCAAGTGGAAGAGAGAGAAACTGTCCTTTCAAGTTTCTCTTCTTGGCAATTCCTCACAAAACAATTGGGGGATTTGCCATGCTCTTAATTCCTATTTAAGAGTTAAAACTTTTATAATTGAATATATTTCAGTCAACTTTTTCTTCACACTAGGAGCTATCCCAGTAGAGGTCCTTTTCTGATTTTCACTAAAGTATATATACTCATAATTTTTAAAGATAGAAAGTACGCACTGCAAAAACACTGTATATTTTATTTTCTCTCTGTCTCTTAGTTTTCTTCAGAGAAAGAAGAGAAAAAACCCAGGAATGGGTGTCTTAAATGAGGGATTTGGGGTGGTGAGGAGGAACAGGTCTTTACTGAAGAGATACAGATTTTGCAGTCTAAAGAGCAATTGCAGAGAAAAATCTTATGAAGAAAATGCCCAAACAAGTCTATGTGGAATGTCTTAGGAAGAGCTGTAAATAAATACGCAATGATGAGATGAAATTTGGCAGAATAGAACTGTGAAGCAGTCTAGCTGGAGTCCCTAGGAATGTAGGCTTAGGTTTCAAATGTTTGGGGTTTGTTTAATTCCTGCCTTAAGAGCTTGCTAGCTATTTGCCTCAGTTACTTTATCTGTAAAATGGGGCATTAGTAATACCTAACTCATAAGACCTGTTGGCTTTATTTTCCTCTTGATAGCTCTGGTCAAAGAGCTCAAAAGCCTGGTGTAAGACATACAAGAGAGACTGAAGCCAGTGATAATTAGATCACAGGGAATATTACATACGTAGTGCAGGCTTTGTTTCTAAATATTTGGAAACTTGTTACAATAAATGTGTAACTCTTTTATGTTGTCTAATTTGAATTTTAAAACTTTACATAAAGACTAATATACAGTATAATATTACAAGAAGGAAAACCATGGAAGGCTTGCATATGCTACTGTTAGTCCCAATAACTGTGAGAATCACCGAAGGTAATAATAGTGAGTTACAAACACTCTAGGCCGAACAGTTTCAAAAGAAACAATATCTTTAAAAACCACCTGACATTTATGCTGACAGAATTTGCCAAGGCAAACCTCAATTTGAATAAATTCCCTGCATA